CGGTAGCGTATGATGGTATCTAGCAATTTAGGAAAATTAGGACTATCATAGCTACATCCTTTATATGTGAGATTATGACAGGTTTTTCAGCTTAGAAATTTTTTATCCCTCCTCTTGGAGGGTTTTGAAAAACAACTATTGAGGTATAATTGACATGTAATTAAACTGCATATATATAAAATGTATAATTTGGTAAGTTTTGGAGTATGTATATTCTTATGAAACCATCACCCCCCCTCAAAGATTCCTGGTCCCCTTTTATAATTCTTTTCTCCCACCTCTCCCCACACCCTTACAAACCCCCTAGACTTCCACTCATCTGCTTTCTTTAATTATAGACTAGTTTGCATTTTCTAGAGTTTTATGTAAGTGGGATCATATGTTATGCACTCTTTTTTTGTCTGGCTTTCACTCTGCATAATTATTTGAACTTCATCCATGTTGTTGCATATAACAATAATTTATTCTTTTTTTTTTTGATATAACAGTTTTTCCATTCACCTGTTGCTGGACATTTAGAATGTTTCCAGTTTTTAGCTATTATACATAAAGCTTCTTTGAACATTCATTTACAAATCTTTGTATGGACGTATGCTTCCTTTTCTCTTGGGTAAATACCTAGGAGAGGAATGGCTAAATCATAAGGTAATTATAACTTTTTAAGAAACTGAAATGGTTTTACTGAGTTGTATCATTTTACATTCCCACTAACAGTGTATGAGACTTAAGAGTTCCTCTACATCCTCGCAAGAAGTTGGAATGGTCAGTCTTTAAATTTTCACTATTCTAGTGAATGCGTAGCAGTATCTCATGGTTTTAATTTGTATTTCCCTAATGACGAGTGATGTTGAGCATTGCTTCATGTGCTTATTTGCTATCCGAATATCTTTTTGTAAAGTTTTTAAAATGTGTAGTGAGGGACGCCTGGGTGGCTCAGTTGGTTAAGCGACTGCCTTTGGCTCAGATCATGATCGTGGAGTCCCAGGATCGAGTCCCGCATCGGGCTCCCTGCTCAGCAGGGAGTCTGCTTCTCCCTCTGTCCCTCCTCCCTCTCATGCTCTCTCTCTATCATTCTCTCTCTCTCAATAAATAAAAATCTTTTAAAAAAATAAAATGTGTAGTGATTTTGCTTCTCTCCTTTCTTTCTTGGTAATTTGTATCTTTTCCCCCCTAATTAGTTCAGCTAGAGGTTTACCAATTTCATTGATTGTCCTAACCAGCTTTGGTTTCAATGAATTTCTTTATTTTTCTGTTTTTTTATTTATTTCCACTCTGATTTTTATTATTTCTTATGTTCTGCTTACTTGGGTTTAATTTGCTCTTCTTTTTCTACTTTCTTTTTTTAAAGATTTTATTTATTTATTTGAGAGAGAGAGAATGAGAGACAGAGAGCATGAGAAGGAGGGTCAGAGGGAGAAGCAGACTCCCTGCCAAGCAGGGAACCCGATGTGGGACTCGATCCCGGGACTCCAGGATCATGACCTGAGCCGAAGGCAGTCGCTTAACCAACTGAGCCACCCAGGCGCCCCTTCTTTTTCTACTTTCTTAAGTTGTAAGCTGAGATCATGGATTTGAGATCTTTTTTTCTTTTCTAATATAAGCATTTAGAGTTATAAATTTCTCCCTAAGTAATACTTGAGTAGAATCCTATAAATTCTGATATATTACATTTATATTTTTATTCAGTTTGAAATACTTTTTAATTTCTCTTTGATTTTGTTCTTGACCGTGGGTTATTTGCAGATATGCTTTTTAGTTTCCAAATAATTGAGGATTTTCCAGAGATCTTTGTTAATGATATCATGGGGGTTAGAGAACATAGTTATATGACTTAAATCCCTTTAAGTTTATTGAGACTTGTTATATGGCTCAGAATATAGTCTCTCTTGGTAAATGTTGCTATGCACTAGGAAAGAATGTGTATTCTGTTGCTGGGTAGAGTATTCTCTGATTGTTCATTAGGTCATGTTAGTTGTTAGTGTTATTCAAGTCTTCCATATCCTTGAAGAATATATTTATTCCATTGAATATTGAGAGTAGGGTCTTGAAATCTGTACCCATAGTTGTAAATTAGTCTGTTTTGTTTGCAATTTTATCAGTTTTTGCTTTATGTAATTTGAAGCTCTTTTATTACATGCATAAACATTTAGGGATTCTTCTGTACTCTTGATGGATTGACCTCTTTTGCATCTGAAATGAAAAAGCTTTCTTGGCCCTGGTAATATTTATTGCTCTGTAATATAATTTGATTTTAAAGAAGCCACTTCACTTTTTTTTTGACTAGTGTTAAACGATATCTTTTTCCACCCTTTTATGTTTAACATATTTATGTCTTTGTAGTATGTTTCTTATTGTTGAGTTTTGCTCTTTTGTCTGACAGTTTTACCTTTTAATTCAGATGGTTAGATCATTTATATATAATGTGATATAGTAAGGTTTAAATCTGTAATTTTGATATTTGTTTTCTACTTGTCCTATCTGTTCTTTGTTCTCTTTTTCCTCTTTATCTGACTTATTTCATTGTATTTATTTATTTTTTAAAGATTTTATTTGTCAGAGAGAGAGAGCACAAGCAGGGGTAGCAGCAGGCAGAGGTGGAATCAGGCTCCCTGCTCGATCCCAGGACCCTGGGATCATGATCTGAGCCGAAGGCAGATGCTTAACCGACTGAGCCACCCAGGTGCCCCCTTTTTGGTGTTATTTTAATGGTTTCTTTAGATTTGATAGTATACATCTTTAACTTATCCAACGTCAGGTGGTATTACGCCACTGCTGTATGGTATAAGAACTTTACAATAGTTTATTTACATTTATCCCCTCCTGTCCTTTCTGTTAGCGTTGTCATATATTTCACTTATCCTTGTTATAAACCTCTCATATGTTGTTACTATGTTTGTTTGAATAGTTAGTTGAAAGAGATTTATGTAATGAGAAAAAGTGTTATATATTTACCCTTGTAGTCATCATTTTTGTTGCTCTTCCTTCTTTCGGGTTGATCCATATTTCAGTCTGGTATAATTTTTCTTCTGCCTGAAGGCTTTTCTTTAACATTGTTTCAGCTTTGTGTGTGAAAGAGTCTTCATTTCACTTCGTTTTTGAAAGATATCTTCACTTGATACAGAATTCTCAGTTGACAATTCAAAGTACCTTACAGGTATTGCTGCTCTCTTCTTGCTTGGATTGTTTCTGATGAGAAATCTGCTGTTGCACTTATTGTTTCTCTGCCTAAGTTTGTCTTTCTTTTTCTCCCCACTATGGCTGCTTTAAAAGTGTTCTCTTTATCACTAGTTTTGAGCAATTTGATTATGATGTGCCCTGATGTAGGTATTTTGTGTGTGTGTGTGTGTGTGTGTGTGTGTGTGTGCTTGCGATTCCCTGAGATTCTTGGTTCTCCAAGTTTTTTAGTTTTTAGTAAATTAGGAACATTTGGCCTTTGTGTCTTCTGTCTCCCATTCTTTCTTCCAGGATCTCCAGTGACATGAACAGAAGGGTATTTAAGGTTGTCTCATAGCTCTGAAGCTCTTTTTATTTTTTAAAATTATTTTTCTCTCTTTTGTTTCATTTTGCGTGGTTCCTAAGGTTTCAAGTTCACAAATTTTTTCTTTGCAGTTTAATCTTCCATGAACCCTATCTACTGTATTTTTTATCTCAGACGTTGTAGTTTTCAACTGTAGAAGTTCAGTTCTGATCTATTTTATATCTTAGTTGTTTGTAACTTTTCAAACATATGGAATACAGTTACAATAATAACTTTTACTGTTCTTATCTGCAATTTCTTACATCTGAATCAGTTCTGGGTTGATTCTGATTGATAATTTTTTCTTCTAATTGTGGGTCTTATTTTTCTATGTCTTTGCATGTCTGGTAGTCTTTGGTTGGATACTAGATATCATGAATTTTACCTTGTTGAGTGCTAAATATTTTTTCATTCTGGTAAATATTCTTGAGCTTTGTCCTGGGGCGACATGGTTAGGTTAGTTGGAAACTGTTTGTTCCTTTAGACTCTTGCTTTTAACATTGGTTCAGTGGGCTTAGATCAACATTTATTCTAGAGTTTTTAATTTCCCAGTAATGAAGAAAGACCCTTAATACTTTACCCAGTGCTTTCTGAATTATGAGTTTTGCTAGACTGGCTAGTGGGACCAGGCACTGTTCCCAGGAATGCTGAATACTGTTCCTCTAATCTTTGGGATGGTGCTTTCCCCGACTATGGGTAGTTTCTTGCTGAATATTTAAGGGGAACTCTCCACACTTTTCTGCAATTCTCTCACTGTGCAGCTTTCTCCTCTCTTTGGTTGCCTTGGAGTTCTCAAGTCTTAGCTATGTCTCTTTCGCTAAGGAGTCCTTCAGGCTCGGCCTACATTCCCCTTCCTTGTGCTGCAGGAATCTTTCATAAGGGCTTCTTATATGCCAGGTTTCTGACCTTGGCTGGAAATTTCTCTTGTCTTCAGAGTATTGGTTTGGCACATGATCTTAGTTATAAATTAGTTTATGTTGTTTGAGTTATTCAGGGTTTATTTTGCAAAAGAACATACGGTCATTGTTTTTATTCTTTGAATGCAGTTAAATATATCATTTCCTGGTTACAGTTTCTTAAGTAATTATCACACCAAATAAGAATTGCCCCAGCCATGTAGAATTATGGCCTGATTCTAGTGTTTTAATTTTCTTTTGTTTGTTTCCTTTTTAAAATGAGTATGGAAATGTTAGTAAAGAATAGTTGACATATTATTTATCTCATTGTTGCTAGGACTTTGGTCAGTTATTGTTATAATTGCCATAGGCCATTGCGGCATTCTAACAGAGAACCTTAAACTGTTGATTTTTGGTGAATCATTGAAGCTTTGGTTTTTGTTTGTTTTTTTTTTAAGGTTTTAGAATCATGATCTATTGATCCTAAGTATTTTGTTGAGGTCAATTAAAATAACATTTGAGTCTTGATGTTGTTACTTGCAGTGTTCCTATATTTCATATGCTCTTAATCTGTCTTGTTCAAGCAGAGGTGGTCCTGAGGATGATTCCATCCACATCTTGAGTGTTGATGAGAAGAATAAATTGGGAGCCAGGATTATCAAGGCAGAGATGATGGGAAATATGGTAAGTCTTTTGTATCATTCTTAGGAGAATAGAAATTAACTCTTTAACTTCTTACAAGTAATTTTGGAAGTTTCTTCACAGTGTGGATATAGCACAGAATGAAAAATAACTGCTGCTTATTGATTCTTTAAAGAAATTCTTGAACTTTTTTTTATCTTTTTTTTTTAAAGATTTTTAAAATTTATTTATTAGAGAGCGAGCGAGCGAGAAACAGCATGAGAGGGGAGAGGGTCAGAGGGAGAAGCAGGCTCCCCCCTGAGCAGGGAGCCCGATGTGGGACTCGATCCCGGGACTCCAGGATCATGACCTGAGCCGAAGGCAGTCGCTTAACCAACTGAGCCACCCAGGCGCCCAAGGAATTCTTGAACATTTCTAAAAACAGTTCTGTCCATTCTAAATAAAGTGTCTACTTTTCCTGTCAGATTTTTAAAAATTAAGATCCTAGGGAACAAAATGTTTTTAAAATTTCCTTTCTACTTTGCAATTTTAGTGTAGCATATTTGAGGGAGATGAAGATGTCATTGTTTTCTTTCCCTGTTTTGGTCACATGTTATTAAGAGTGTGTATTGCTTTCTTAGATTCCCTTACTTAGGAACCTAACAAATGAGCTTCTAAAAAAGATGATTAATTCATTTGTCCAAATTTTAATGGAATATGTTTATGCCTGATAAGCGTTAGATGCTTTGTATAGGTTAGCTCATTTAATTTCCATAATAGTGTTACGATTTAAGACTGATTTACCCCAGAATTCAGTAGAAAGTAGGGAGGATTTGGTGAGAGCTACACCTATCTCTATTTATCGATTATTTATGTGTTAGAGCGTCGCATTTCTGATACATGTTACATCGTGCATGGCAGAATAGCGAAGCCAGACAGCTTCACATGTCTTGACGGAATCGATTCCCTCATAGGCATGTACTCATCACAAACCCAAACGTCAGTGAGCTTCAAGTGATCTTCCCTTTGGTTGTACTGTCAGTAAGGCACAGTTCGGTAGAGTACAAGGTGGCCAAACAAGATGCTTCTATTTTTACTAGATTTTATGTCTATTAAAAGGCATATCTTGCATATGTTGCTCTTTCTCTTTGAATCTGGACTTTGGTAACACTGAACTTCAGCTCAGCCCAGATGAGAGAGACAAACCAACAAAAACAATAATAATAGCAGAAAATAAAGTTTGAGTTTTGCGAGCACAAAGGAATTAGTTTGAAATAATGAAGGAGAGGTCACCAAGTTAGGTTAATTTATGTTAAAAGAGGTGTTCCTTTGGTCATGGAACCACTGCAGTGGAGAATACTCTTTGCTTGTCATATACTTCTATTTGTTTAATTTATTTTTTCATGTGTCAGTTGTTTTATACAAATTTCTATAGACTTCCTATAATAAAAATGAAATATATTCAGAGTTCTTATTTAAATTACCCAACAATACAGAAAGTACTATTTTAAATCTTGTTAAGGATTTCTTGTTACAATAACTGATATTTTGAGTAATGGATGTTTATAATATCAAAAGAATTATAAAAATGTCATTTTTTTTTTTAAGATTTTATTTATTTGAGAGAGAGAGAGAGAAACAGCATGAGAAGGGAGAGGGTCAGAGGGAGAAGCAGGCTCCCTGCTGAGCCGGGAGCCCGATGTGGGACTTGATCCCAGGACTCCGGGATCATGACCCGAGCCGAAGGCAGTCGCTCAACTAACTGAGCCACCCAGGCGCCCCAAAAATGTCGTTCTTAAGGTTAGGTATTTTCTCTATGCCCCTGTTTCTCCCCTAGAGTATATGTCCTTGTAATTATTTACCTTCAAAGCATAAACAAGTGGCGCAGGTCTCTGAGAAGTGTGGAACTGAGATACATTCATTAAAAAGCAATTTACCAGGCTGTGAGTTGGTAACTGAATTTAGATTATGGCCACATGGGTGTTCACCATGCTCTTTTCCCTTCTGTCGTATAAATTTGAATTTATGCACTGAGGAATTAAACTATATGTGACACATTTTTCTTATTTTTCCCTTTGAAGGAATTAGCGGAACGACTTAAAGCTCAACTTGAAAAGGCAAATAAATTCAAAGGAACTGTAACACAGATATCCTCAAAAGAATCTGGGGTAGGGGTAAGTAATGGAAGTTTGTTTGTAGGTATGTGATTACCTTGCATAGTACTATTACTCGGCAGTGGTAATACTTTAATGTAAAATGTTTGTGTATCTGTGTCAGTGTGTTTATATGTGTGTTTGCTTGTTTTTGAAATTTATTTTCATATGTATTGTCTTATGTTCCACCTCTGTGTCCTGGTGGGAAAGAGAGGCCTGGTTTTATTTTGGACTCTGCCATTTACTGACTCTGACTTCGCAGAAAACACACTGGTCCTTAAATTCTTCCTCCTAGAGAATGAGAGACTGGAATTTGGTATCTGTTCCATATAAAACAAATTATCGTGTTCGAGGATTCATTCGTCTATTGGTTAGTGAACAGAACAGATAAAAGCACCTGCCCGCACGGAGTCTCATTTGGGTAAGGAGAGGCAATAAACGACACATGTAAGAAATTGTACAGCATATTGTACAGCATAGAACGTTCGACACCCATGGAAGGCCAGTGGGGGTCTTGAGTGCCCGGTGTGTTGGTGGCTTTGAGGACACAGGCTAATTGTGGTTGAAAAAGTGACACTGATGCGAAGATTTGAAGTGGAACAGCGGATCTGTCTGGGTGAAGAGCACTCTGGGCATGAGGAGCAGAGGGTTCCCGAAGATGGTGACATGTGTGATGTGTAGTAGGAACCGCAAGGAGCCCAGTGTTGCCAGAGTGGAACAGAAGGAAGATGGGGAAGTAGAAGACCCAGGTTAGAGAGGCCGTGGGAGCCTGATCATGTGGAACTTGAAAATCAGGGTAAGGAAGTGGATTTTATTCTGAGTGAGATGGCATTGAAGGGTTTCCAGTGGAAGATCTATTTTGGCAGGACCGTCCTGCCTTGTTTGTTAAGCATAGACTGAAGGAGCGGAAGAGCAGAACCTGGAATCTAGAAAGGCTCTGACAATAATCACACAAAGAATGGTAATGGCTTTGACCAAGAGAGTAGCCCCTGAGGTGGTTAGAAGTGGTTAGGTTCTTATATGCATAAATGTTTCCTGGATGCATTTTGAAAGGAGAGTGGACAGGATTTTTATGATGGTTTAGATGGGAGGGTGTATGAGATACAGAGGGGACGCCAAGTGACCTCAAAGGTTTTAGCCTGAGAAGCTGGAAGACTAGAGTGGCCGTTCTTGGCGGTGTCGAAAGACGGGGAGTCTGTTCTGGGGTAAAGAGTAGTAGTTCTATTTTAGATACGTTGAGTTTGGATGTCTTTTAGATGTGGAGCAAGTGGAGACATCAGGGAGGCAGGTTGATGTTGGGAGTTGGGGGAAGCCTGAGCTGGAGATAGAAATTGGGGAGCTCTTGACATTAGAGACGGTATTTAAATTCATGATACCACATGAAATAGGCACAGGAGTAAGTGTAGATAGGAAAAGGTGGAAGGCTGAACTGGGTGTATTACAGTGTTGAGAGGATTGTAATGAGGTTTATAACTGATTTTAAAGGACTGCTCTCAAAGATTAATATATATAATTTAATGTCTGCGTGTGAGGAGATGAGAATGTGTGAAGTCAATTCCATAGGGTTTTCTGCAAGCTTATTGAGGGTTTAGATCATAGGGGAGAGTATGTTTATGAAACTGGCTGTTTTGACAACGCTGTGCTAGCTCATGTTTTTAAAAAGTGGTTAATGTAGAATTTCTTACACAGATTAAGGAGTTGAGAGTGAGACGCTGCGTGTAGAATTAAGAAGTAGCTGAGTGTGGGGCGCTGTACGGTCTCTCTTCCACACTTCAGCCACACGGTTGTTTTCATGCCTCCTTGTGGTCATAATACTTCTGTAGTCTAGCACTTGCGTGTGGTTTCTTTGTGCTAACTCTGATAAACGCTAGATCCTCCTACGCTATGGCCCTCTGCAGACCAGCCCGCTTTCCAGCCTTACCGCCAAGACGCTCATAGGTAATGTACGTGTCTCTGACATTTACATATGCTGTTAATTATCTGTGCCAGATACCAGCCTCTCGAGGCTTGTCCACTTTTCAGTTTGTCTTTACTTCCTTCTGAAGCCGTTTCTCTCATCCTCCCAAAAAGTTGTAACCTGTTCTTGTTTTGAAACTTTGAAGACCCTTAAAGTATTCTCTGTGGAATTTATCTCTTCACATGGTATGTATTTGTATTCTTGTCATTGCCCTGTAGTCTATACCTGTTTCTTTCCTGACACTTGTCACTTTATACAAAAGGGTTCTAAAGCTGTGGCTGGACTTCAGAGAGTTCTTGAAATTGAAGGCAATTCAACTGAAAAAATTGAAGCAGGTCTTTTAAATAACTTTTTTTTCCTGCTGGTTTAAAGACTATATTTCATCCCTTAAGCACATAACTTTATAATATTACTGATATCTGTGATTTTTAGCTCCTCCTAGCTTTTCAGCGGTGGACCTCATCACCCAGTGGGGTAGGATTCAAAGTTGTATTCCAAGTAGTACACAATATTGACTTTCCGTTTGTCAGCTCTTTAGGAAACTGAATAGCCTTGAAGCTTCATCTAGAAAGATTTTCATTCTAAGAATTCTTTGACCACAAAGAAAAATTGTTGTCTTCTCTGCAGAGATGATACATGTGCACATTCTGTTCGAGCTTTACCAGACACATGCAAAACAAACCTCTACGCACAATTCTGAAGGAATTCTCTGCTGCCAGTAAAATATGAAGCTGTTTACTACCTCACAGAAATTTCCTGACTCATTAGAGGAAAGTCTTGAGATGCTTCTTATAAAAATTTTGCTCTTTGGGAGAAGATCCAGTTCACAGAACAGTTGAGCAGAAAGGAGGGCTTTCATGGCACAGTTTGTGTTAGAAACGTTAGGCTCTGTGAACAAGGTAAATCTCGCGATTCAGCAATCTATGAGTATTGTTCTGGCTTTAGTAAAAACCACCAGCACTTGTAATTATTAGTTTGCTTATTTCTCTTCCCTTTAGAGAGTGAACTGTTCAGTAGTTAGGAGGAGTGTTTCTCTCAGTTCATACCTTGTGCCTTGAGTCGTGCATGGCACGTTCGTAGACAACCAAGAGATACTTGAAGTATTTGTTGTATGAATGCCTTCAATTTATTTGATCACTTAGAGTTTTCTTTTGTAACTCTTAAAAATGACCCATGAACTTCGGAATCCTCTGGTCCGGCCTTCCCTCGAGTATACTTCCTTATTGAAACAGCCCCACTGCATAGTATTTCCGTCTAACCTGTGCTTGGACACTGAGTGATGAGTTCTGGAAGACTACCTATTCTCTATCAGGACAGATCGAATCCTAGTTCTTTAATGTAATAGATCCTAATCTGCCTTCCCGTAACTTCTCCCTGTTAATAGTCCTTCAGGGAATCACATCGTGGACACATTTAATCTAAGGGAATTCAGCTCCAAATCCAGTTTACTGCTTGTGGTGGATAATGAACTAGTTATTGTGTGATGTGCTCAGGTTTTGTTTGCATAGCTGGCAAAAAAGAGATATGTTTTTATAGTCCTGAAAGAAATTGAGGAATTAACGGAAGGCCTTAGAGGGCCTTGGAGAAACATTAACTAATGAATAATTAAAGAAACAAGCTCATTTGTGGCATTTTGTACATAAAGTCAGGTCCAGTGTTTCCAATAGTAGTTTGACCATACTTGACCTTAACACTGTCTTTTGACTCTGATTCTTGAATACATTGTTCACTATAATACAATCACTGTGATTTCCAGAGTATGGGTACGCCTAGACTGTTTTACTGTGTTTTGGCATCCCAGTCTCTGCAGCTGATCCTCATAAACATAGTAAAAGAGAAAAAAAATTAATTACAAGATTGAAATAACTGTCGTGTTGAAGCTTTGCCTTTCATTTTTAAGCAGTGAGGTTGGGCCTTTATTCAATAAATACTTCTCAGTTCCTTCTTTGCAGCAGTCACTTAAGTCACTTACGTTCTCAGTTTTCTAAGTCGAGTATTTGCATTTCCGCCACTGCTTACCATGTTACGTTACGGTAGGTATACTTTACTTGGTAGCAGCCTTTCCTGCCAAGGAAGAGGAGCACAGAGATATTCTCTGCCTTTGGTCATTTAGCTCGTTTCTTCCCTAGCCAAGCAAAACAAGTCCGTGGCTGTACTTATTTTGTATACGGTTCTACTTCTTTTATTACCATCCCCAAATTATCTCATTTCTGTGGTCTACAATTAGAAATGTTACCTATGTTACTAGAGGGCTTATTTCTTTAAATAAACTATTTCTAAGGAGTCAACATTTTAAGCTAAATTAAAGCCAAACAATTTCATAGATGATATGTAAATACAAACACATTTTTTAGTAACATGGAATCTTATATCTGTTCATTCTTCTTGCATCAAATTCTTCATGAAATAGTGTTGGCATTACCTGCTAAATATTTCTAAATCTGCTGTTTGCTTTTCTTATCTGCCCCATCAACTCTTTATGCCTGTCAACTCTTTTTTTTTTTTTAAAGATTTTATTTATTTATATTTGAGAGAGAGAGAATGAGAGAGAGAGAGCATGAGAGGGGGGAGGGTCAGAGGGAGAAGCAGACTCCCTGCCGAGCAGGGAGCCCGATGCGGGACTCGATCCCGGGACTCCAGGATCATGACCTGAGCCGAAGGCAGTCGCTTAACCAACTGAGCCACCCAGGCGCCCTATGCCTGTCAACTCTTTGTCATCATCATCTAGACCTCTGAGTGGCTTTCCCTCCAGGCTCATTGCCTTTGCACAAAGCATTTCCTTTGCTTAGAATATTATTCTTCTTTCCCTCTGTTCCCTTAGTTACCTCCTGTTCATCCTTTAGATCTTAACTCAGACATCATATTTTCCTTTGGAAAGCATTCTCTCTGGAAAGAAAACTTATAAATAAGATCAATTATACAAATATATAATTACAGCTTTGATGGTCCTCCAAAGGAAAAGTATAGAAGTTTGGGGATAGTGAAGAGGACCCAGTGCAATCTGGGCATCCAGAGAATGTTTTGAGGCTCTAGCCATTATTTTTGGCTCTTATCACCATGTTTG